TGTCTGGAACCGACACCTTTTTCAGCTTCTGTTAGACATCGTTTAGACAATGGTTAAAGGAAAATAGCGTTCATGCTATCTATTTTTGGCCTTGGACATCGGTTAACCGATGACTTTCGAAAAACACCGGAAAAACATTGTTCATGTAATCGGCCCTTAGCTGTAGAAAATGACCGATTTCCTGATATAAAATTTCAAACAGCGGCACTTTTTTTTCTCCGCGCCTGGTTTTAATACTCCAGCAAAAGTAGGCTTGCATGGAAGCCGTTGAAGCGGTGGCAAGGCACTGGTCCAAGAGTTTCAAAATGGTGCATCCTGTGGCTAATTTGCAAGCGATCCGAATCAAACCTGGCTAATATACAGGTACGAGGTCTGACAATAACGAGATTGTATTTTTCCCTTTGCAGTCGAAGAAACAGAACAACATCGTCTTAACTGGTTAATCGGTTGGTTTTTCTTCGAGTTTGATTTTTTTGACGAGTGCCCCTAACAATACTTCAGGTAAAGTGGTACTGCTCTGCAATCACTGCAAGTATCATGACAAGTTTGTTACTGCACAGACTTAAGACATGCACTGGCAGGTTACAGCAATCGCCACTAACCCAGTGTTGCCACATGCATTACAGTGTTGTCAGTCTCGTTATTTTATTGTCAGACCTCGTATATTCCAGACCTCCTCTACCGATGAATTATACTCTAACATACGGCTGTAGTGACAAGGCAAAGACAGGGCTTAAAAAGGGTAGATGGTCTTCACAAGTTGCACAAGTCAAACTTATTTCCCCCCACCAACTCCCGATTCACGTAGCTGAATTCATCGATATAAATCTTGCCCCGTGGAAAATGGATATCCACATCCCATAAGACTTTGCAATCCGTACACTTTTCAATTCACCTGAGCAAAAAACCCAAGAGAAGCTCAAGTAAGACGAGGGACTTTATTTTCCTCTAACTGGAAAGAAGTCTCGCATCCCGACCCTTTCTTGGATTCAATTAGTATTGTATGAAGAGTATCGAAAGGAGAATCGTTTGACTGCAACCTCCCTCCTCCGTACGGTTCCATTCCATTTTCTTCGAGTACAGAGAGAAGTGCATTCGCATAAAGGGAGCCATATGATAGACAAACGGCCACTCCCACGAGACTACATTCGAAAACGACAGCTTACGAGGAACGTTCCTTGTCGAAGCAATGAAGTTCATGCCTTCCATCCCTAAACTATTTACTTGTAGGACTTGGCCCGACTCACGAAAATGTAATCCCATCTTATCTGCAGTCTCTTGTACTAAATAGTAGGACTCTTTGGAGTCCATGGGATGCACGAATCCACATACCTGGTTATTCACGCAAGCAATTGAAGACGTGCGAATATCCGGACAACCAACCCAACCCAGCAACGTCAAGATTCAGACTGACAAGGGGCTAGGCAGACCCAGCGGGGATGGATGCCCCAGGGGAGAGGGGGTGGGGGGGTTTGTCTGCTTCTCACTTATCTGAAGGTCTGATGGGCCAAGGTCACGGCAGGCCCGCGCTTTCCTTTCTTCCTCCCCTGTCTCATGCTGTCTCCCTCTCCATGGAGCCCTCATGGCGTGTAGGTGGAAGAATCGTAAAATTTTGTATCGACTGATTCAATTCTCTCTCCACCCTCAAACTACAGTATTATGAGACCCGTGAAACATTCACGTCTTCCTAATTGAGATTAACTGACTTCTGTCCAATACCGTTCAATTGAAACACACTGATGGAAATTTGAATATTGGCTCAATTATATTGAGCCAATCCCGTTATCTCCCCTCCCTCAAATTCCCTTTATTCCAAATATCAGGGGGTTCCGTTCTATATTTTTAAAGGGCCTTGCTGCGATCGTCTATCAATCAAGGATGACCGATGGAAGACGGGTTGAGGATGACATCGTGGCTTTAACAATCATCTTGGAGCTTATCATCCTTCTATCTGGAAGTTTATTGATTGTCTCAAGAAGGAACAGTATCCGAATGAACTCAGGATGGAGCAGTATATTGCATGACAAGGCCCTCCTCCGAGTCGCAAAGTTTATCGTCAATGCGCTCTCCGAATGAACTTGGATTATGAACAGCGACCATTGAAATAGTATTTACAAGGGATTGCACATAATTTAATCTTCAGGTGTAATGCTGATCTGCTACAGTGTACCGTGTAATGACAGGCTCCTCTTTTCAATATGTTCTTCTGTTCTCATGTTCTCATGTTCTGTTCTTCTGACAAAAGCTGATAGCTTATTATAATTCTTTATTATTTTCATTTCTTCTCTCTTGACGTGGTTTGAATTCCTTTTGACTTTATGTGTACGTGTCAATAAAATTTTTTTTAAATTCGGTACTCTCATTAAAAGATTTACAATTTTTCTCTTCATTACAAAATCCCAGCTGTACTATTTATATCCGGTGATCTACGAAATCTGCCCACATGCTTGATTTTTTTTTCTCAACCGTCTTTCATAAAATAAAAAAAACAAACAAACTGCAACCGAGCAAATATATATCATTGGCGGATGATTAGCCCCAAGAAGCTTGTTGAAGCCATGATGCTGTCCTCAACCTGTCTTCCATCGGTCATCCTGGATTGATAGACGTCCTGGATTGATAGATCGATTCATTCTATGAATCAGGATGAGAATGAACAAAAATGTTATTCTCCGTTCATCGTGGCGTCATCGGAGCAGTGCACATGCTGTAGATAAAGAGAGGAAGGCCGTCGCAACAGGAGCATGACATGCATGCAGTGGCAGATTAAGAGCAAGGGGGGGGGGGGGATGAGTATTTTCTACTCTACAGTCACTTGCCTGGGTCGGGGTGCCCGTCTTCCACTAAAACATCCACTTCCCTTCCAGCTCTCGCGGATGACGGATCCATAGTAGACAATGGGAGAGAGCGGCTGCTCGCGGCCGCGTAGACAGAGTTGCTAAGCGTATGCACGAAATGGCGCAATTGGCATCCTACACTTGAGATTCACTCCCCTTCTCCACGCTACAAAGGCGCACGAACCATGAATCTTACGAACCTTAGGCGCCTAATACCTCTCTTCAACTCCTTTCCCGTTGAACTCCCGTTCTCCTTTCAATATCTATATTAGTGACATCCCTACCACCGTATCAAGCAAGTTTGGATACGCTGATGACATGGCACTCGCAGTTCAATTCGTACACCCCACCAAGATCGAAGACACACTGACGAAGGACTTACAGGAGCTCGAACGATACTTTAAATACTGGCCCCTTCTCCTTAACCCCAGTAATACAGTCGTAAGTGCCTTTCACTTGAACAACAAACGCGCAACATGCCCTTAACTATTGCTTTTTGTGGAGAAAAAGTAAGGTACGATCCATCCCCAAAATACTTGGGTGTCACGTTAGACCGCAGTCTAACGTTCTACGAACATCTAAAGAACACATCTGCGAAGACCAAGTCTCGCGTGATTCTGGTTCATAAACTGACTGGCACAACTCGGGAAGTCGGCGCTCCCACTCGGCGGAAAGCGACATTGGCTCTTATCTACTTCACCGCTGAATACTGTGCCCCAGTATGGGGCCGAAGCGCACACGTGAAACCGGTCGATATGCAGCTAAACGCTGCTATGAGGATAATTACGGGCACTCTCAAATCCACTCCTCTGCCGTGGCTCTCAGTGTTGGCCAGCATAGCACCAGCCCACTTCCGCCGAGATGCGACTCATGTCAGAGAGTACCACAAAGCCCTCAATAATCCAAACCTACCAATCAACCAAGACCTAGCAAATCCACCGGCCAACCGTTTGAAATTCAGGAAATCTTTCTGGAATGAGGCAAAGACACTCCACAAGGCAAACACTTCGACTGAAGAACGCGGACGAAGTGATTGGGCTAGCACAAACCTACCGCACAGGTACCTCATCACCGACCCAACAACAAAACCACCTGGCTTCTTCCTACCAAGAAAACCATGGTCCATCATCAACCGCATCAGAACTCTCCACGGACGCTGCGGCCACCTATTCCATAAGTGGAGAATAAAAGAAAATCCCAAATGTGATTATGGCGCACAGAGCCAAACCATCCAACATATTGCGAACGACTGTCTAATCAGAGCATTCAAACGTGAAATAATACTACATCCATTCAGCTGCTCCAGAAGCAATCGAATGGTTAGCTAACCCAGACGTTGAACTTCAATTGGTGCTATCCAAAACGCTATACGAAAGAAGATGAGTCATTTTCTCCAGTCGTTTACAACTGCTGGCAATAATGGTGGCTTAACGGCTGCAAGCTTAATGCTGGCAAAGAAGATACTTCATTCTATCAGCACTCGACTCGATCACGTCATAAAATGGCGTCACTATTGGGGAAATAGCGGCCAGCGAAACGTAGTGAACTGTGAGAGCACTGAAATGGCGGGCACAATTGTGACGTCGTGGGATACATACCCAGAGACCTCATGTTCTGAAGCTTAGGGGCCTAAACAGGTTGCGGACTGGCTCTATAGGTCCGACGCGAATCGCGGGTCGGGTCCGAAAAGCTCGGTCCAGCGATCGAGTTTCGGGTTGGGTGGGGCCTCGATTTGAATCTGACCGATTGGGCCGGGTGAGAAAAATCCACCCGAGCAGTGCTCCGGCGGACATACAGGACAGGAGGATCTCGGTTAATATTAATTAATATAGGGGATACATCTTCATCAGTCTTCATTCTCGTCTGCAGAAATCATGCGTGAATTTGTTGGCTGCCTTAAGTAGGCTTACCGAGAGGAAAAATTTTCTATGAAAAGGCGCGATGGAGGACTCGATCTCTTGACTGGGAGAAAAGTCTCGCAAGATTCCGGAGGATCCCTTCCTGCAGCTGATGCAACAGCCCTTATTTAATTTGCGGAAACTCGTCCTATGTGTTGCGCAATACCACCTGATTACTTTGAGACGTGACATCACGACGAGAGGCCGCTATCGAGAAGATAAGAAACGCGGAGGCGTCGGCCTATATGTAACACTTGCGATTTGCATGGCGGGGATGACTCCCGGCAGCACTGGGGTCGCCCACGCACTCTATCTCGCCATCCTCTTCTCCATTCCCATTGGTGCGTCATCCGCTGCCTTCCATCTCACCATGCCCGTTGGTATTTCATCAGCTGCTAGGAGGTCGTCTTCCGTTCCGAGCAAGAAGTTACCGCACTGCCACACATGACTGTTTACCTTTCGGAGATCTTCCCTGGAAAATTTTCCTAGAGACATCATGTGAGAAGGTGAAAAATACATGAATGTGCATAAATAAATATTTAAAAGTACTTGAGGAAGTTCATAAAAAAGAGAGAATGAATCTAAGTCTTGCAGCAGCCGCTGACGACATTCTCTCTTGATTAGGGTAAAGGATTTCCCATGAAGAGAGGAACATTTTTCCGTCAGTCAGAATATGTGTAAACTCTGATATGATACCTCCCCTACCTCCTGTTTCATTTGAGGATGTCATCTTCGAACTCTCCAACACCATAAACTCCGCTTTATTTGCTGACCTCCAAAATTGGAAGTAAAGCTCTATCTCCTCCTTCCCGACGTCGTATGCAACTGCAGAATAGCGCACGCGTTCTCATTGGTAACTGGGGACTGTCTGAGTCAGATTAGCTAACATTTAGCTACCAAATTATAATGCGTTCGAGAAAGGACTTTACGCATTTGAAAGGTTATCACTCCCTTCATTTTATTGATAAATTATTGCATAATGAAAACTGCAACATGAAGCTGAATTCTTTCATTTTTACAGTTAGTGAGATTAGTGCTTTATCACGATGGAATTGTTCACGTTAGAAGATAAGATGAAGCGCGCTGCGTGAGCTATCGGTCACGAGAATGGTAGAAAACGTTTTTGTCGCTTCGAAAGGGAATTTCACCGAGAGTCTTGACGATTGGAGGAAGAAGCTCTCGACTTGAAGAAGCGAATCGAGCACACATCCTCCTGAGAGACCACAATCCTCAAGTATTGCGTGAAATGCGAGGTTATTTCAATAGGGGATCGTTTCGGGGATTGCTATTAATATGCAGGAGGAGAAAATAATGGGTATTTTATAGTTCATATGATTCACACACTTGTAAAACTAACGGAGTTATAACATTTCAAACGTATAAGGTCTTCTGGAACCAGTACATTTAGCAATGCTAACGGCGCAGAAAGGGACGTGTTGAAATCTCTGGACGTGACGCATCCGCTCGTGAATGTCACTCGTGACTCGTGAATCATAGGACGAAAAATCTTCCCCGCCTGTCTTATCCGAGTCGCTGCTCGTGTGGGTTCGCGTTCCGGGTTCAATCTTAAGGGTATTCCTCCCATTCTAAAGGGCGACAGTGTACTCTTTCAGTGTCTGGCGGAACTTGGATCGGTCAACTTGAACATCGATCTCGTGTGAAGCTGTGAATGAAATGAGTTCCCTGTGCCCTCATCTCAAAGTCGATGTGGTTGCCTTATGTTCTTCACGAAAGAGCTCGCTTTCTGATCGGACAAATACGTTCGGCATGGATCAACACGGCTTCGACCCCCACCAAATTCTTCCCTTCTGTATGACCTCAACCAGCCAAGTATAGCCGCAGAAATACAAAAAAGCCACGACTGTGCGTCTTCGGCCTCCTCATCTTGGTCAAGGTATGCTTCGCCCTCGAACACCCCGTCCACTTTTACCTACACAGTTTTACCACTGCGAAACGAAATGGAATCAAATGATCCCGTATTGGCCTCGATTCAGTCCCTCTCGGTTGAACAGCTACGGAAACGAATTTCAACTTCCACTAGAAACCAGATTCTCGATTATCCTTAAATAGATAAAAATCCTGTCCTTAATTATAGCGTTTCTCAAGTTTCGGGCGGGTATATTGTCTCAAAGTTTTGACACCAATGGTTTGTTTCCGTGGAAACAAACGATAGTTAGATAATACAATAGCAGGATACGACGCAGTACATCATCTGATTAGATTTGAATGAATTTTGTCTCTTGCATATTGCACCTTGTCGAGCTCTTTTTTTCTGAACATAGGTGAAGTTCATCAAACTTCTCAAGCCAGATGTTTAAAAGGCCTTCAATTGAGACATGGAGTTTCCGTTTAAAGAATACCTCTATAGATTGTAACTCTAGAGGTAATTAGGCTGAGGGATGGGAATCATCATGGGAATTTCGAATCAAGTCAAGGTTTCCTGTGTCAAATCGAGATAGCTGTTTTGCAAAGGAGAAATCAAAGAATGCCTTCTCATATGGAACTCGTTTAAAACCGACAGTTTCGCTGGTCATCAATAATGGCATACTGAAAAAACGCATTAAAAACTGAAGTAGTCTCGCTATCATTACCGTTAGTTTCGCCACGAGTTTTTTAAGTGGAAAGTTATAGAGAATGGTGAGATTAATGATTAATGCTTATTATTAAATAATATTATATAATCAGATAATTGCAATACTTCAGGCATTTTATGCCGTCCCTGAATTATGGAGATGGAGGATATTGATCAGTGATCCTTTTCGTCGAACCAGTAGGGATGACGACGAGAGAGCAGTCGAAGATGGAGTTTAAGGAGAGATACGTCTGTTTTGTGGCCATCTTCGTGTTGGTGTCCTGCGTCGTCTACCAGCAGACCCTGGTTGCCGTCATCCATCTCGACGCTGTCAATCGACAGGTTCGAACCCATGTGGAAGACTTACAGGGACAGATCCAAAGCCTTCGGGGGAACCTGGAAGATTTGCAGTCCCAAATCACTAGAGTCGAGTCTAAGCAAGACAGGAAAGACATTCCGAGAGAGGAATCAGTGTTTGAAGTCATCCTGGAGATTCTAGGAGGAAGACTTGGAGCAGGAAGGCTCCAAGAAAGAAAACATTTTCCTCGAGGATGAAAGTGTGGACGAAGGCAGTTTGGACAAAGTTCTGCTGGCAAGGGGATACATCGATGGAGAGAAACGGAACCCCCAAGAACGAGGACGGAAAGGAAAAGGCCGCGACCGCCAGAAGCATCATCGACAAGAGAGTGACGCTACGACGTGAAACCTTACCAAGGGACTATATTCCGCTCACGTTCTTGCTTACAACAATTCTTCTTATGTTTGCATACAAGTGCTTGGCGTCTGGGGTGGTATCTTCATGTTAATTTTAACCCCTTAAAAATCTTTTTAACCCCTTAAGTGGGGAATTTCTCGGGCAGAAGCTTACCACAGGCGTCAGAAATTATTTTCATGAGAAAAACGATTCGCGTTTATGCAAGAAATGTACCACCCTTTCTCGAGTTTATATTCCTATTTCGAGTTTCGAATTCCTATTTAAATAAAAAAAAATGGCAAACCCCCCTGAGGAGCACTTCACCATGATAGATATATTCGTCATACCCACTGAAGGGGTTAATGTCAGTTTTTCAAGCAGATTTTTCCACGCACACTTTGAAGTATTACGAGGCATATGTTTCAACATTAGTTCGAGAATTTGGAAGTTAATGTCAATTTTTAGTCTCGATTCCGTGATCACTTGAATCATTCTAACATGTTGACCGTTGAACTTTTTAGTGTACAAAGTATAATAAAGAGTTCAACTTTGTGAGTTAAGTGAATTAAGGTGTTTAGCTAAGAATGAGGAAAAGGGCTTGATGGAACAAGCATTCTGGATGCGACGCTGATGCATGCCCCGCCAGCAACTCATAACTACCTTTTTTTCTTCCTTTCTGAGTCCTTTCTGGCTATCGCCCAGCATTTCTGAGAACCTACGCAATAAACAGTACTTATCAGCACAGGTCTAGATACGAGGTCGTTCCCGGTATGAGGAAAATCGTAACAGAAAATTTCTGCTTGAACTCATTCGAAAGGAAAACAGGGTCGAGTTCCAATTCGTTCCTTTGACTATTTGGTTTCAAGTAATGAAGTCCATACAACTTCTGTATAGTTCTCACGAAAGGGGGCACTTCTTATTCACCTCTTCTACAAACATGGGACAAATAGTTCCAGATTCAAAACTTTTCCTCCCTTGGGTGAAAAAAAATCGAGCTTTGGAAGCGTTTTCATTTTTGCCATTACCTCCTTTTCTCTGCGATGCAGGAACCACGTGGCCCGCATACTTCTCATCAATCCCACTCAATGTTCTTCTGGGCTTATCAAACCTTCAAGGATATCGAAACAAGTAACCACACACAGGTTTTGTATGCTTTAAAAACGTTTTAAAAATACCTGACATATCTTGCTCATGTGAAACTTTAAGTAGAATGTTGCTTTACCATAATAAGAAATACTTTAAGAGAAGAATGTAACATTTTCTATAGCTTTGCGAATAGAGAGGGAACCTAAAAGAGTGACAGCGGCTGGAAAATCCCCATCAATTTCCCTCTTTCAATCGAAAGAAAGCGAAATTTCGTAGCATGTGATCCGATGAGAAAGTCATGTGCACCACAATTAGGCCGCTTTCACGCCAAATGAAATTTCGTGACAAGAGTCAACATATCTCATCGTGTCTTGGTGTGTCTTGTTTAATTAAACATGAGCACTAACTTCAATTGCATTTTATCTCCAACTTTTCTGATATTATTTCTATTTCCCTTACCATTTCACCCTCTTTCAGTACTTGTTTGGACTCATACTATATGGGCAACGGATTTGAAGTGAGTTTTCTTAATATTCTGGGGTGTGCCATCCTGTTGTTTTAGGTGTGCATTCAGTACCGGGAAGGGTCACGCAAGATCGATCTCAACCCGGGGAAGTCATACCTCGGTATCATCCGCCTGGGCAATAAGCAACCCCAGCTTTCCCAACATAGGAAGCGCAAAGACATCTGTGATTGATTCAATTCACCTTCCTCTTCAGGATGACGTGATATCCACTCGTAGTCCTTGCAACATTAGACATTTCAAATGTCGTGAGCAGTCTTTTTTTTTATTCTCTCATGGGCGTGTTGGAAGGATGGAAGAGCATTGACGAGACTCTATTCACATGCTACTGTTGAAGGAACTTTTCTTTGAAAGTCTCTGTTTTGTTGAAGATGAAAGGTGATGCGCATACTCTGTGATGTGTACTGCAGAAAATTTTCAGCTGGAATATCAGTCTGAAAGATTGTGATGTCAGTCTTCGTCGAATTGGTAGACCTAATGTGGTATCTGTCGGTGAAGTGCATGAGAGTGACATCATTTGTACCTGGTCAAGGAATTCATTCGAGAAAAAAAATTTATTTCCAAAACTGTGGTGAATGGAATTCCCAAGGTCAAGCAAAGGGCCTTCTCAAAAACTTTGTGCTTGAACCTTCGGCTGTGGAGATACATTGCTTCGAAATTCTACTTATTTTTACTAGATATTTAGGATTTTTTTTTTATATAACTCCATCAATCATGCAGGTTTTTTTCCAATAAGCAGATCTCTTTTTTTTTTTAAAGAAAATTTGATTGCTTAGAAAATATTGTCATTGTCATTGTTTTTGTTCTTGTAGTTAGTGTCCTGTCAGCATCGTGTATTTTTTGGTGAAAGTTATGTACCCCACGTATGTTTGCTGCAAACTCTACACAGGCATCATGATGATCTCTATACATCAACAGTTGCTTGGACCGAGAGTGTCCTTTCAAAATCTGATGTTAAGATTATGAGAAAGTTACACTGATCTACAACATGAACATGAAATGTGAGATTCTGGTTACTTTGTCCAGGAAGAGTAAAGTTCCATGCTGTGTTGATTCGAGTCAATATCACTCATACCTTCAACTCTTGTCAGTCTGGTCTTCAGGGGACATACATGTTTCATTAGATTGGTGGTTCATCCAGATTTATTGAAAACCTGACTGATCAAATACTCATTTTTCTTTTTCCCCCGATGAAGAATGCACTCCCAAGATACAGAAAAAAAAAGTTTGATTAACCCTTTCACTGGCATCGGCGTCTCCTGATGTCCATTAGACACCAATGCCTCTTGCAGCGACGCTTCCAGAAGGAGGTTGGAGATTTTAAATTTCCGTCTTACAGTGAAAAGGTTACTTTTATTTTCTGTGCTAATTGGAATCACTGACTCAGTTCTTTCCGGCAGGTCACATGGAATAAATGCAAAATTTCGTATATTTTTCTTGACACAAGAGGACGAATTTAACGGGGGGGGGGGGGGGGGGGGGAGGGGAGGCTGAGCGAGGTTGAGAGAGGAGCGAATGTGCNNNGGGGGGGGGGGGGGGGGGGAAGGAGTCCCGAGCAAATAAAATTTAAAAATAGCAAACAAATCTTTAAAGAAAATGAAAGTTGGATTTGTATGAGTTGTCATCACGCATGTTATTGCGCTCGATGCTCCACGGCTCGCAAGGAATCCCATTCATCGTTCCGTTCTTGGTCCCTAAGTATTCTCACCCCAATTGAGTGAAGTTGCACTCTGGGGAGGCTGTTGGAAGAAAAATCATGCTAAAGTAATGTGACTGAACTCAGGATGGGTGAATAGCTTCTTTGGAATCCCAACTTAATGAGCAAAAAGTCTCTAGTACCCATAAATGATACCAGTGGCTGTTAATCTTACTATTAAATCTTCGGCTCAGTGACTCCATACTAGACCAATGACTACAGAGCCATTATTTCGATTCGACACTTATTTCGCTTATCATTTTTTCCTCTATCCAAGTTGAACATTACTGGTCTGAGATGTGATTTGGCACGAGTTTCTGATCGATCCGACTCGAAAATCAAGAGAAAAGCAATTCCTTACTCCTCTCGTCATAAAGAGGGATTTCACTGTATTTCCATTGGATATCAGGATTGGAGATGTAGCACCGTGACCATCGACCCCAGATTCCGGCAGAAATTCTTGTGGATTTTTGGATTTCTGTTCAGGAATTGAGAATTACAATTCGATGGCCCCAGGAAATGATGTTCCATGTCGTCCACATAGGGCTGGGGTTCCCACGGTAGGCAAGCCATCCCCGACTTTGTCCCATTCATCGTTCCCAAATATTCCCTCCCGTTCTGTCAGTCGACATTGTGGATACGCGTGTCTTCCACCATCTACGAATGCCACGGAGACATAAATCGATTCCATGTGACCATCGAGAGAAAACTTTTTCTGTATCTTCTCCCGTAGGCTTGGGAAGATCACTTCCTTGCACTTATAACCGTTACAGCTTTGGTGCATATGATAAAACTGAGGAGGAATGAATCATAACGTAACGCGATGAAACGGGAACGAATGAGAGACCTTCCGACTGGTGCTTCCATTCAAACACAATGACGGAAAAAAAAAACAAAGAGAAAGGATATACGTACTCTGGAGAAAGCTCCCAGAATTAGGGAATGTCGCAATTTTCAACCATTGGGTTCTCGAGTCAACAAAACACTTGGGACCACCAAGCTGGCAATTTTGATTGCGACAGAAGTTGTAGGTGCTGTCCAAGGAGTCCGAAAACGGGGAAAGTAGTTATCTAACTATTCATTGGTAAGTCGAACTAGCCACGGTTGACAGTGTCCCCAATTCCGTCTCTTTCTTCAAACCCACGCATTCCTCGCCACTTGGCGACAGCTTGCATTCCATCGGGACTGGCGGGATTATTTCACAGGCGTGAATTCATCAACAACTCGACAAAACTCTCCCAAATAAGTTTAAGTCACAAATTCGGCGCTATTCATAATTTCCTCGACTATCGATTAGAACTCGAGGCAGAAAAGGTAAATTAAAAAATAGGAAAATACAAATATTTGAAAGGGTAAGGTGAACCTTTGAACAGGCTCTGCCTGTTGGGCTGAGGATCCAACCCAGGTCGTCGCAGTATTCCTTCTCCAGTGAGGGAGATTCGGAAAGGGAGCACCACGGTCTCTTCCCTGATCCTGGATTCCGAGAGGAAGACAACAACTCTGTCGCTTATCGTAGAAGTATTTCGTTAATGGTAGCGACTTCACTTGATCGATTGCAAGAGGTAGACGTTTCGTCATCACGTCAGCGAGTGATGACGAAAGTCCCATATTAGAAGTCACGAAACAGTTCATTTCTACAATTTAATGCCGCCAACGTTTCAACGTTTCACGCAACCGTGAAAACAAGCAACACGTATTGCTCAC